TAATTATTCTGATCTAAACCCCATGTAACGCCCTGTAGATGATGGATACCACTCTCTGATGCAGTTAACAACACAAGAAGGACACACACGCCTATTACCTTTACCCAATTTTTTGTATTTCCACAATATATATTGACGATAAGCTGCCTTCCTAAAACTTTCTGGTGAATAAGAAATGTCTTCAGCACGAATGTCTGATCGTTGGTGTATTGCAACTGTAAGAACTTGCTGGTCCAAGCATATATTAAAGAAGTGTCGATATACGGTGATACAAGTTTGCCTTTTACAACATACATGTTCCTCCTCAGAGTCCATGATCGTGCACTTGCCACATGTACACCATGGTGGTTGAATGTAATGTGGATGAGGTGGCTCGTGAGGATCTGATGGTTCACGATCCAGTAAAGATTGAGCTAGTGCTACACCTCCCCTTCCCAAAAGTAGTTCTTTAATTAGCTTCTTGCTGTCTTGGCTTGAAAGTCCATCAATAAAATCCTAAATGAAATTGTATCAATTTTTGGGAGTATATATAGCCAGGTAAACATACATCCATTTGCTGGATTTGTTCATCAATAGCATCATCTTGGTCTACAGCATGTCCTGTAACTCCTGTTGCAGCTGAAGTAACTTGTAACTATGAATGTCATTATTGAAATACAAAGAACATCAATCTTAGACTAATACCTTGTTTTTACAGGGCCCTTTCCTACCACACAGACAACTATTGTTACAGTTGACACCAGCAGCTTTACAGGGACAAAATCCCTTACCTTTCTTACGTGAACAAGTGCCCTTACAACTACAAAATATCTGGGCAGGGGTGATCAGATATATATCAGAAGAAATAGAATTTAATGGGACTAACCTGTCCTTCACCATGGTTACTTTCGTCCTCCACAGCGCTAGATCTTGTCGCATGAGCAGCCATAATAAGTTCCACGTGGTTTAACCATTGATTAATAATTGTAATTAGCACACGCCCAGTACATTTTTGTTATTGTACACGCCCAGGTCAATGTTTACTTCCTGCATGCTACGCGTATACGTGACGTGTGCTTCCTTTTCCGTGCGTGTGTCCCTTTAAACTGGTTAAAGCAACTGGTATTAAGTCATTCTCAGATCAATTGTAAAACTAGGCCATGGGACTGAGACACCCTTTTTATGCACCAGTATTATTGCTTTGTTAGTAATTGTGTTTAGAAGTAAAGCAGTAAACAGCAGTCTCTTAGGTCACATCAACTGGGTCAGCAAATCTTAAAGCAACCAACAACCATGGTATCG